ATACCCGAGAGTGAGACGAGAGATACACTGATACAGTGAACAGTGAGAGAGTAAGAGTGTGAGGTAACCGCTTTGTAGGAGTCACAGTTGCGAACACGTAGACTCAGAAGGAAGTCCTACTGAATTTCCAAGACTATATATATTATTATTGCTACTAGCCGAATTTCTAGATCTACTAACCGTATTACCAATTGTATTATTACGTCAATACATTTATTTGCTATATTTCATTCCTGTGTTTGTCATTCATTTGAGACCGGATTTCATCTCGGAATCCACAACACATAATACCTCATCTCAGGAATATAGACAGATACTAGATTGTTGTCTTTTTGACCTCAGTATATATGAAAAGTGAGGGAAAGAAAAACAGAGACGGAATGTAAGTATAAAACAGGGTTAAGGAATAGTGATTTTTTTTAAAATCATTTCATCTCAAACAAAGTGATGAAGTCATTAAGAGTCACTGAAAGTGAAAGAACATGATAAAGAAAAAAGAGAAATGAAAGGACAGCATTAAAAGAACAAAAAGATCGCGATTGACGTTACATTTAAACATTTGAAGCTCATTGTTGGCAGGAAAGCAGTAAATTGAAAGCCACAGTCGAGAGGTGCGAGAGAAGAAACTATTAGAATAGAACTTACGGTTACATCTCAACAGTAAAATGATGAGCCCGAACTGCCAATCTAGTATTATGTGTCGGAAATAATGAAGAATAGACTTATGTGAGTGTAGCGGCGATGTCGACCGGGGAGTTCTAAGGCGCGAACGCCTTATTCTCTTCCACTTTAGTAGTCTTCCATTTGGATTGATAGAAGAAGTGAGGACAGAGGTATGTTATAAAGATCTCTTCACCTCGTACTCGAGAGATTTTTTAGCCGACAGCAAAAAAAGATGTTATTATTGTTCTATTATTACTGTGGTTACCTGACCCTAGCGGAGAGGGTCTCAAAGGAAGGGCGTTTTCTTTTGCAACCCGGTCATTTACCAACTATCTTCACGCTGGTCTTTTCAGTCGAATTCATTTTCAATATATGCTTTAATTCATGAAGTCGAGGTAACAAAGACGAAAGCTCATTAGAACAATTGCCATGAAAATATTTGCGATAAAGTCACAGGGAACTGACGTTACTAGCGTAGAATATTGTCTGAAACAAAGATGTCAGTACCGATAACATTTAATATTCTTTGGATTTTGCCAAGAAACTCGAGATATATAGCGGGAACAACAGACCGGATATGCCAACAAGAATGGTAGACTTATAAAGTCTTATAAAGTGCAAGATGGATTCTGGTGAGAAAAAAAAACTATTTTGACACGACATAATAAACAGACAATCCTAGGAACAGGTGTAGCAATTGATTCAATATAATCGTTTTGTTTCATGTCAGTCGGAAACGAAAGATCGAGAAAGCGCAATGAATTGCTTCCCTTGAGGTTGGAATCAACCATTCTGATAGAAGGCAAAATAATTCTCTAATCCGACTAAAAGACAGCAGTTTCGTTTTGGAGGTGATAAGTTTCACAAGCCATTTATTGCCACAGTTTTCTTTTTTTGAATCATCTCACCCCAAGCAAGGCAATAAAACAACTAGGCGTTACTGAGTGTTAGAGAATATGAGAAAAACTACTATTAAGGAGAGGGAGAATTAAAAACAAAAATTAAGAAGATAACTGTCATGTGTCCTTACCTATAACTACAGAATGAACTCTTCCTAACACTATGTATACTAAACCTCTCAAGAGAGAGGGTCGAATTGTGCCGAGCTTCTCGGCTTGACGGTCGAACCCGGACGAGGCTCCGCCGAAGGGCAGAATCTCGTTCGGGGAGGTTGACCAACCCGATCCCGTTTATACGGGTTCTTTGGGCATTTTTTGGCTGAGCCTACGGGCTCGGGAAACCCACGTAAAACTTGGCCTTGTGCCCCATACAACCCTCGTGGGGGGGAGCTAGATACCGAATCGTGCCGAGCTTCTCGGCTTGACGGTCGAACTCTCTGCCTCTGAGCAGAGAGGAACCCGGATGAGGTTCCGCCGAAGGGCAGAGTCTCGTTCGGGGAGGTTGACCAACCCGATCCCGTTTATTTTTTGGCCGAGCCTACGGGCTCGGGAAACCCACGTTAAACTCGGCCTTGTGCCACATGCAACTCTCGTGGGGGGTAGCTAGATACTGAATAGAGTCGACTCGATAGTAGTTCACTCCAAACCAGACTGACAGTCATACTAACACCTTCCACATCTTGTATTATTATTTAATCTAATATACCTTCGTTATTTCTACACTTGTGTTCGTGTTTTTCTTCCTTGGTCCTAACCTGGACCATAACAATAACGGTTGTCATTGCATTCAAATTTTTGAGGATCAAAATTGACTATGAAGCAAGAAACCGGAAGAGAGTTCCACAAGGGAGAAGTGCGATGGAAGAAACTTTTAGCATAGAACTTACGGTTACATCTAGCCAGCTCAACTGTAAATAGCTGAGATCTCGACGTTTGTCTAGTACTCAGCTTAAATTAAAAACTCTAGGTACCATAGTGAATAGCTCATGTGAATATTTCAAATGTAAATTGGTGAGACCTCATCGCCAAACAAGTCCCACGCATAAAGTATATAACGTCTAGGTACCACAGTAGAGAGTTCATTAAAACAATTACCATGAATGTATTTATAGAAAAGGCACAGGGAAGATATGCTGTGGCAGTGAGAAAGTTACTGAAACCGAGATGCCAAGTCAGGACCAATGACATTGCAGATTCTTCTTTGGATTTCATCAAGAATATTTAAATATATATCAGGAGCATCAGAATAGACGTAGCATCAATATTCAAAGCAAGGACGAATTGTAGATTAAGGTTAGTTTCGAGATCAGCTGCTCTTGTTTCTCGAGCATACTCGTCACCGTGGGCGGATAGCCAATCCCTTTCGTAGACGCTCTACCGACAGAACAGAAACACCATCCACAGAGCAGATGCAACACTCACAGAGTAGACGCAAAACCCTCCAATCCTGCCCCGACCAGCAGTTGGAGCGACTTTCAAACCTTCGATCGCGATGACTTGTGACTTCGTGCAAAATTTGCGTCTAGACAATTTCAATCACAACGGCTTCGGTTACGATCGTATTTCCTGAATTGCTTCCGTCAGACCGATAACATCAAGACGTCATCTTCCTGATAAAACGATCATTCGAACTCAGGCATCATAGTTAGAAAGTCAACGTCCTAAAAAATCTCTGCTATGCAGGATCCAACATTCTGAATTTTAACAGGAATCGAACATTGGTATGCAAATGACAAAAAACACTATGAAAACTCCAAAACTACATTCATAATAAATAAAAATTTAAACTGCAACTCCAAAAATGTGATTTATGTACTCAAATGCACCAAATGCAAGAAGTCATATATAGGTATCAGTCAACAACTAAACAACAGGGTCTCCCTACACAAAAGCAACATAAAATTACCAGACAACTGAAAACTCTTTGTATCATAATACATCTATAAATGTAACTATGGTGAATTTAAAATTATGCCAATATACCAAACAGACTATTATTTTCACCTACAAATACAAGAAAAAAAAAAACTTCATAAACAAATTTAAACCAGCACTAAATAGATCATAACCCCACACGCAAAAACACACAACATGCACACATAATTGCCAAATACAGTGGTCAAACCACTCGCATCTATGCGCATACACTCACACGAGGGTATATGTGGAGCACGAATACGTATACACATATTGGCAAACACAATAGACTGCTCACAAGCACGCGCAAACCCTACACAACATAGGAAGTTTGTTTATGTGTATGTATGTATATATGTGTATATGAGTGTGTATGTGTGTATATGTATACTAATTCCTTATAAGACGACAGTATATATGTATAGAGAGGGAGTGCACGTATATATACGCGTACTGATATATATATATATATATATATATATATATATATATATATATATATATACATAATGGCAAAAAACAAGACTGCCCACGGGCACACACATGAAACCTACACAACACAGGATGTGTGTGTGCGTGTGTGTGTATGTGTGTGTATGTATATGTGTACATATGTGTATACAAATTCCTTATAATAAGACAGTATGTATGTATGGAGAGGGAATGTACGTGTACACACGCATGTGGACAAAAACAAACAAATGGAAATAGATCTAAGAACACACAGGGGTCATTAAAAGATAAGAATATAGATATCTTTCTCACCCTTTCTCGGAACAGTTTTAATTGTTTTATTAACCTTCACGCAGAACTTTTTCACTGGCAGTTCAAGAAATACATTTAGGTCACTAACGCACAAAAAAGAGAATGTCTAATAACGATAATATTTAACATCGAAAAACATAAGAAAAATGATTTCCTTTTAATAATATGTGGAAATATCCACTCTTTGCCTGATGAAGGTCGCGAGACCGGAAACTCGTGTAGCAAAATTATGGAAAATAAAGCATAATACTTTTTTTTTAAAATCCACAATACAACCCAAAACGTTGGTGCTTTCTCTCTTCTTTTTAATATACACATTTTTTTTCTCTCGTTGGAACTACTATAAGCTCTTACCCATATAAATATATATAAAAAAAAAAAAAAAATTTTTTTTTTTTTTTTTTCAGTTATCTGTTCTGAATAAGACTTGTGTTTTTATGTCCATCGTATTTGTCATATTGAACTGAATTGTATTTTGATGAATATTGTTTTGAAAACCGAAACGTCAGACGTCGACATTTCTTTCATTTTAACTACATTTAAGGATTTTTGTTTGTTTTTTTCAAAATTTCTTCATTCTGTCGGATTTATATCCATTTACACTTGCTTATATATATATATATATATATATATATATATATGGCGTCGAGATCTCAACATTTTACAGTTGAGCCGGCTAGGTGCAACCGTAAATTTTTTGCTAACAGTTTCTTTTATTACACTTCTCACTTTTGGAACACCGATCCATGTTTTCCAGACAACTTTTATCTGGAAAAATTTAAATCTAATGTCAATCGACTGTACTTCTGATTATTCTTTCCTATTCTCGCTCATTATTAATATTTTTTAATTCTTCCAAACCCTGTGTCTTAGTAGCTTTACTGCTATACATGGGGTGATATCGAGAAAAAAAAATATATATATATATATATATATGTGTGTGTGTGTGTATTTCATTGTTTGTTTATCCCCAGCGAACAGTAAAAATTTAAAAATACTATTTGACGATTTTTTTTATTGAGTTTTTAGCATTCTTAAATTTTTACTGTTCGCTGGGGATAATACTCATCTATCTATCTATCTATCTATCTATCTATCTATCTATCTATCTATCTATATATATATATATATATGATAAAATATAGTTTTAAGTTATGCTATATGCTCAATATCAGGGGTAATGCGTATGTAAATATAAAAGTGGACATTGAAGACAACAGCGTGAGATGACAGTCTGTTTCATGCTAAGCGTAATCGTCAGGCAAGCGATTGCGTTTAGCATGGAACTGTCGCCTCTGGGTGTTGACTTTAATGTCCACTTTATATATATATATATATATATATATATATATATATATATATATATATATTAATACTTAGGGAAACTCATTAGATCTGACGTGCTTTGACTTCGTTCTGTAAGTTAGACCGTAATTGTTAGTCGCCCAGTTAGGATCAAACTTATCACAGTAATAAGGTTTGTTACGAACCTACTAACCATTACTTTTCACTACCAGTCAAGCGACCTTAAAGGGCACTTTCTAGACTATCTATTTCAACCTATTCATATCTATCTATCTATCTATCTATCTATCTATCTATCTATCTATCTATCTTCATCTCAATCTTAGTCTATGTCTATTTATTCAACCTATCTTCGTCTGTAACAGTTGTTGGTCACCCAGTGAGGACCAAACTTATCACAATAATAATGATTGTCACGAGCCTACTAGCCATTAATTTGAGGTAAGCTAACTTAAAGGAAATTTTCTAGACTAAGTTTAGTACGACACGCGGATACTAAACTTAGATACTATTGTACGGCATGACTTACGGCCACATCACTTTCAAGCATCGGTTCCCGTACGATCACAGAAGCTAAGCAAAGTCGAGCCTGGTCAGTGTCTACTTGGGTGACCGCGTGGGAATATCTATTCGTATAACCGCAAGGACTTCATATGAACATCAGCCAGATACGGTTACAGGTATAAGACCTGTAACAATTTTATGGGTCTACAATACATACAGAAAGGATTCGCAAAGCTAACCGCCTAATAAACAATTTCAATGAGAAATCTCTAGCTTGAGTGGCTCTTAAGCGATTGGGTGAACAACAGTATTAAAAGGAATTGGAATACCATTATGTGAAAGATAGGTAACTTGTTTCCACTTGCCTTCCCCGCTGTTTGGAATCCAGTTTTCCTACTTTAGACAAGATAGAAATCAAGGCTAGAAAGACAGGTCTACCTTATTAGTTAACCTACATCTGGTGCTGGGTGGGCTGATGTTCGACGTAATATATACATATATTTACGAAGAGTATTTTTGCGAAAGGGAACACAGTTGGATAGGTTGGAATTTGAAGACGGCTCCCCAGTTAACAGATCCAGTGCCCACACGTAGGAGTGAAAACAATGCTAGGGTTGGCTGAGTCAAGTAAATATATATAAATATAGACCAAAACGTTGCAGGCCATAAAGCGAGGCGACTTGTAGCTGCTCGCATTCACAATCCTTCTGCGTCTCACCATTTTTTCGTCATGACACATAAGCCTCCGCTATCTTTATCCATGAAAATAACGATGCAATTAATCAAAAAAGAAAAAAAAAATTCGCTGTCTGACTCGTGAAAGGCAAGCGATGATGAGTTCCCTGCAACATAGACTCTCACTTGTAGACAATCAATTAGTCTGACGTTGGTGACAGTAGCAGGAAGGGTAAAGGTGCTCTGGGTCGGGAAAGAGTGCTCGAGTGAAGTACACGGGCAAGCATTTGTTAATTGTTCCTTGACTTGCCTCTTCGTCTGGGGGAACGTTTGATTGGTTAAGAGATGATGATCGATGGGAGAGAAGTGGTTGGAGGAAGGAGGTATTAGGAATAATATGGCGCGTGTGTGTGTTGGGTGTATGTATGTGTGTGAGCAAGGATGTAATGATCGAAAATATATGGATTCTGTCTCTTAGATTTACTCTTACAACTAGAAAATAATTGTTTGTAACAGGGTAACTATATTAGCACATTTTGGAGTAAAACTATCTATCTTTGTTCAAATCTATCTATCTATCTATCTATCTATCTATCTATCTATGTTCAAATTTATCTATATTTTTTCTGCTCGTTATCTATCTATCTATCTATCTATCTATCTATCTATCTATCTATATTTCATTCTGCTCGTTATCTATCTCAGTCTATTCATATTTATCTACCTTTCTCAATATATTCATATCTGTCCATCTATCTCTCTATCTATCTCTGTTCAAAGTGACTTTCACCGAATGAAGCCTGTAACTCTTCGCGAAGACAATTTTTTTTCGAACCCCGTGGACCGGCGCAATGCAATTGTAAACAAATAACTGTATCATGTAAGAGAAATCTAATCATTTGAGGACATTCAACAGCGGTAACAACTAAAATGGATAAAATATATAGCTCGAAGAATTAAGTAATGTCATAATCAAGATGTCGACACTCCACGCTACTTCAAAAAAAAAAAAAAAGGTAATCGATACTGGAAAGAGCGATAAAAGCTACTAGACTTGAAAAACCTATTTTCCCGAAGAGTTCTTTGAGAGGAAAGTTTTTATAAATTACAACCGAAAAGAAAGTTCCCATCAATACTGGAAAGAACGATAACAGCTACTGGGCTTGAAAAACCTATTTTCCCGAAGAATTCTTTGAGAGGAAAGTTTTTATAAATTACAACCGAAAAGAAAGTTCCCATCAATACTGGAAAGAACGATAACAGCTACTGGGCTTGAAAAACCTATTTTCCCGAAAAACCTTTTGAGAGGAAAGTTTTCAACCGAAAAGAAAGTTCCCATCAATACTGGAAAGAACGATAACAGCTACTTATTTTCCCGAAGAATTCTTTTTGAGAAAAGTTTTTATAAATTACAACCGAAAAGAAAGTTCCCATCAATACTGGAAAGAACGATAACAGCTACTGGGCTTGAAAAACCTATTTTCCCGAAGAATTCTTTGAGAGGAAAGTTTTTATAAATTACAACCGAAAAGAAAGTTCCCATCAATACTGGAAAGAACGATAACAGCTACTGGGCTTGAAAAACCTATTTTCCCGAAGAATTCTTTGAGAGGAAAGTTTTATAAATTACAACCGAAAAGAAAGTTCCCATCAATACTGGAAAGAACGATAACAGCTACTGGGCTTGAAAAACCTATTTTCCCGAAGAATTCTTTGAGAGGAAAGTTTTTATAAATTACAACCGAAAAGAAAGTTCCCATCAATACTGGAAAGAACGATAACAGCTACTGGGCTTGAAAAACCTATATTCCTGAAGAATTGTTTTAAAGAGAAAGATTTTATAAATTACAACCGAAAAGAAAGCTCACGCCAATACTGGAAAGAGCAATAGCAGCTACTGGGCTTCAGAAACCTATTTTCCCTAAGAATTGTTTCAGTAGAACACACATACATAAACTTTATTAGAATAATTTACAATTGATTTCTACATATTCTTTCTTAATTGCTGTGTACCTAAATGATTATTAGACTAAATGAAATTTTGGACGTATTTGTCAAATAAATCTTACTTTTATCTCTATATGATTATTAAAAGGAATGCAATTTTGGGCATATTGATATTGTTACATATACCAGTATTAAAATAATTTACAATGCATTTCTTTAGTAAAATAAAAAACTCCATTTAATTTCTATATTAGTCTTTAACAATTACGTTGACTTTGTGTTTGTAATCATAAGACTGAATGAAAATTTTGACTTATATGTTTAATAAATCCCACTGTTAATGTCATGCGTTTCTTAAATAGTATTAAATTATTTCCAATGCATTTCTCTAGTGAAGTCATCTGTAAAAAAGATTTCTATGATGCTTTTTAGTATATTGGTTGTCTTACACGTTATTGTACAGGGTGTCCCACACAAAAACAGGAAATTTGGTACAGTTTATTTAATTGTTGGAATTTTTGTTACAGTTATTTGAAACAAAATCAAAGGATAACAAATTTAGTAGCTTATGACAGAACAAAAACGCAAATGTGTTGCTCAAACTAAAGGAATCTGGCAACATTTCTTGGGATTTTTGTTCAGTCTGCGAGTTGGATTTTTTTTAAAAGAGGACAATCACCTCGCGTTGAAAAGTTGATAACTGCAGCATCCTGCAACAACAAATGGTTAAAAAAAATTATATTTTAGTTAATTTTTTTTACTTCATTCATATAGTAAAATATATAGTTATTTTTTTATGTTAATTTTTTTCAGCATATAGTAAATCTAAAACTTTTGTGATGCACCCTATATATGTAAGCATTAGAATGGATGAAAAGGACAACTCAACGCAGTGTAATGATTAGTAAGTAAGCTTGTCTCGCTAGAACGATTACGACTGCCGGCCTTGTGCCACATCTAAGATGCGCTTAGCAAATTAAAATTAGAATGAATTAATGTTTTGACGCATTTGTTTAATAAATTTTATTAAACTTTTAGCAACTCGTATTAAAATAATTTTCAATGAAGTTCAATATATGCTTACTCATTGTATCTGTAATTATTAGTGTCGCTGTTTGTCTTCATTTTTCCCTGAGTCTCCCTCTTTCGCGTCTCTTCTTTTTATATTGTACACGTGGATCAAAAAAATAGAATGCTGGTTTTGATCGAGAACTCGTCCTACTGGTTGACTACGATTATTTTACCCGACCCCACCCCCAAAAAAAAACAACAAAAAAAAAAACGGAAGTGGATGCGTGAAGCCACCGAGTCACAGACTCGTTTTGTTATTTGATGTTGACCATGTTTGCCGCAGTCTCTGAATATGGAATCCAGTGAAGTCCGTAATCTGTTCAATATCAGAGGTCGGCAGTGAAGATTCAGAGAAAGTAGCGGTTGTTAAGTAATTCTTTAAGTCTTCGATATCAGGTTGGCAGTGCAGACAATTTGGGAGAAAAAAAATGGCTGCCTTTATACACGTCGCATTGAATATTTTGAGCTTTCTGATTGGTTAACCCTTCTATTGGTGAACTATAAAATGAGTCAGCTCATTTTGACTTGCTCACTAGTACATATATACACAAAAAACTGCAACATTTGACACTTCCGTCGCCCAGCTGTTTACTTCGGAGTCCAGCAAATGCAGGAGGTACGACAAGGCTCCCTTTCTAGAAAACTGACCGGAAACGAAAACTAATCAATTATTTAATAGTAAACAAATATTTTGTAATCTTTAGGAAGTGAATGAAATGTTTTGAGATATTTATTTTGAGATAAATGTTACTTTTAATATCAAAGGTTACAGAAACAACTGTTTTTAATGCAAAATATCAATAAAAAAAATGATATTCTTTTGAGATTCGGTCCAATATCCATGTCTGTTCTTTTTTAATTACAAGAGATTTGATAGCAGAAGCGGACAGAGAATTCAGAAATGAACGCCGAAGTTTTCGTATTTCAAATCTGGGACGTCAATACAATTTTCTTCTTCATCCATTATGGTAGTCCACCTTCGAACGTGGGCATATATATATATAACCCAGAAGCTACTTGAATTGTATCTTACCCACATGCAAGTTCTCTTTCGTCGCTTCACGATTGAAGAACAACTCTGTTCTGATCGCCATTTTGAAATTAAAGCTTAACAGACTGATACTCTGAGAGACGAATCCTTTTTTGAAAAACTATGTGGAAAGCCTTCGAGGTGAGGCATGTTAGTACGTTTTAAGACATTCCTCGTTTATCTGATTGTCACGTGAAATTCTGAGTGTTCTTTTTTTTTCTTTTCTTTTGTTTTAAGCGTTTCACCCCAAGCAAGGCGGGAAGCCACTAGCACGCAAGGGGTTCCAGAGAATTGGAGCGAGAGTGAAGAGAAGTGATAAAGGAAAGGTTGAAGAGACGGTTAGGGGATAGATCAGAGCATCTGGTGACGTCGATTGACATTACATTTGAATAGTTGGAGATTATAGCTATCAGGGAAACAAGAAAAGGGGAGGGAGTTCCACAGGTGAGAGGTGCAAGACATGAAGCTATTGGAGTAGAAGAGACGGCTACATTTAACAGTTTCGACAGTGAAAGGGTGAGAGCGGGATGCCATTCTAGTTGAACGCTTAAATTCATAAAGTCTGGGAACCAACGAAAGTAGCTCATCGGAGCAGTTACTATGAAAGTATTTGTAAAAAGACAGAGGGAGGCGACGGTACGTCTGTGAGAGAGCGACTGCAGACGAGACGCCAGAAACTTACCCTCTGCTCCTTCTTGGAGTGTGTGAGCATTATGGGAACCCTCTTTACACAGGTCATTAAGTAACCAAGAGACTGCATTTAACTACACGTACTACCATTGCTCATTTGAAAGCTTTTAATGAGGTTGCAATTGTGCTCTGATGAGAGCATCAAGACTGTTTTAGCCTTATTTTCATTTACCGCAGCAGCCGGTCTGCCATAGCGGAACCTGTTACTTAGTTTAGTTAATTATTTCTCTCTAAGATTGCCATTAACTAGTGTCGCATATCCTTGATGCGTTCACATCAAGTACTGCCTTCCATATATTTTCACTAACTTCTTGTGAATGAGAGCTCTTTGCTTTTTACGTCCGCTCAGAAATTATTGTGGCAGAATAGGAGAAAGTGATTCAAAAAAATTGTTTATAGGAAAGCTGCATTTGGGAATAGTGCTCCTGCCACTCAAATAAATGAGGAATTTCATATTACGTACTACTATGGCTCAGTCAAAGACTTTCGCATAGACTTGTAAAAGTGATTCTTCTGTCCGACTATCAGCCTGTTTAGGTTTAATTTCATTCTCAATCGGAAGCTTATTTTCTCTTTTTTCTCTAGGATTTCTGTTAAATCTACTAACCCATCTCTTACCGTGCTTACGTCAAATGAAATTGTAGGGGTCAATTTGTTTTTCTCGCTCCATGTCAAACGTCGGGGTTACCATATGTAGTTGTATATTAATAAGAATATACAACTGTATATGTCTGTTTATGGCTGCGTGAATAACATGACCACACAATTTATATTTAACGTAAAATTACCACAAAAGATGAAATACAAGAAGGAAAAAAATGGTTTTAAAACAACATTTGCATTTATTTTGTGTTGATGTACATTTGTAGAAGTTAAAGATCTGTTGGAGTTATACCCTTAGACTGTGAATATTCTTATCTGAACTCACAAAAGTTGAATTAATTACAAAGCTGAGAAATAAACTGTAGCTTTAGAAGAATGTTTCAAAGAGAATAGTTCTTGTTGCTTGTTTGGAAATGTTCTGTATATTTGTA